AGTGGTTGTGTGTAGATGTGTATTGCATTCTATAATTAGAATATGATGAATATATATATGTATGCATAGGTATGAATATATATATATTTTATTTTCTTTTTATTGATAAACAAATAGCAATGAGACAGTTTCAAATTAAATTAGTAGGACAGTTTCAATAGTTAACACATTGCATACATTCTTCCTAGTGGCTAATTGCTGTACAAGATGCGGACATGATATCCTATTTACAAACACCATTAGAACAAATCCCTCTATTCATTATGAGAATGTAACTATATATCTATCCTAACCACTTTGAATACACAGATACAAAATGGACATTCATCTGTATCCCCTTTTTTTGTTAAGTTCTGTTATTTGAATATTATAGGTGTGTAGAATCAGCAAAATATTCTAAAAGAGTCCAGTAGTGAATATATATTTATACAAGAATTTTCCCCAAAGTTAGTCAGAGCCCTCCCCCTTTTTGTGTTTCCCCTGTATTGTATTGGAGGTGGAGAGGGACAGCTACCTCAGCTTGCCTTTGTGTACCTGGTTTTCTCTGTTCTCTGCCAGCTCTTGCCCTGGTGTCTTGGTACAAATCCCAGGGCAATTTGGTACCTTTCCTCACCTGTTTTTTCTCTCTCTTTACCCCAGCCCTCGACTCATTTCCCAGGGAATTTCTCTAGTAAAGTTTTGACTCCTTCTAGTTAGGATTAGCCAGAAGGCTTAATGAGGCCCCCACAGTATTCCTTTCCCTATTTACAGGCCCCTTCCCTTACACTTCTTGTGTGTTTTCCCAATTAGGAAAGGCAAAATCATCACTAAGCTCGGGAGCCTATAGCTCCAACATCTCTTTTACTGAACTCTTATATTCCAGGCCACTATGTCTCTACTCCAAACACCTTAAGAGGAGGTACCAAAGAAAAGAGTTCACCTCAAAGAGTGCTGAAATGATAGAAACTAGCCAGTCCTGAGTCACTTACCCTGCCTCACCTGTACCTGCTGCAGAAGCCACAGGAAGATTCGCCTACGTTGTCCCTTCCCTCCTCTGCCTTCTGACTACTGTGCTCCCCCATACGGTGCGCCCCGGTATAGCCTCTCCTCTTCAGATTTGTAAATTTAGCAAACTCTGCCGTTGCAGTCATGTTCTGATGTGTTCACCTTCCCCATGCTTAAAGAAAAATAAAAACAAAATTGTAGAACAGGGCCTTGGAAAATGAGAGCAGAAAGCCAGCATTCAGTAGGAGGACACCCATGGGAGTGGGCACTGGGGATGAAGGTTTGTATCACTTGTGACACCCACAGGCAGCACCTGCTGCACCTGAAATGCTGGACATAAAAAAAAGAAAGAACTCAAAACGTTGACATGCACCAGCTTTCAGCACCATCCCTGGAGACATAGCGCTGTGTAGCACAGGGCAGAGGGCCGTGAAGGCATGGAAAGGCGCCACTCACGCCTCCTGCAGCCTCCAGGTGAGGAACAGACACCCCGGCTCCTGCTCTCTGCATCTGTCACCGCGTTTGCACAGAGGGCACACTTAATTTATGCAGGATGACTGTGACTCAGTGCTACCCAGACGCTGGCAGCATAGGGTGAGGTCTGGGGCCCCTCTGATGGGGTCTTCCATTAGCTTCTCTACATGGCAGTTCATTTTCCACGGGGTATTGCAGGCGCCCCCCACTCCCTCCTCCCTCACAGCAGTCAGCTCTGTGTGTTGTGATCTGATGGCTTTCTTTGTTTCAGCTTCTCCCCATTTGTCTCAGAAGTGCTTTCCCGGGGCTGGAGAGATAGCTCAGTAGAATAAGCACTTGCCTGGCAAGTGCAAGGGCCTGAGTTCAATCCCTGGTTCCCCAAAGGAAAAAAAAAAAAAGGAAAAGAAATGCTTTCCCTAACACACCCCTGGTTACTTAATCATGTCTGAGCACCTGCTTTTTGAAAGTCCTAAATTAACCCATGCTTCTGACTTAAGTGGCTCCGGAAATGGTAGGAAAGGACAGAGAAGTAGAAGATGAAACAAGGTGTACTTTTCCTGTACCTTAATAGATACTAGCATCAAACGAGAATCAGAATTAGATTTCAATAGAAATATTAAAGAGTAGATACCAACTAAATGTTAGTGAAACTATTCATTATGTTCTAAAATTTTATCTCTTGTGATTATTATGTGCAATTATTATTATTATTGTTATTATTATTATTATTTTTTTTTTTGCAGAACTGGGAATTGAACTCAGGCCCTTGCCCTTGCCAGGGAAGCACTTATTCTACTGAGCCATCGCCCCTGCCCCTATGTGCAATTATTGTAAACCTTATTAGGTAGTGATTGAAAACATTCTAGAGAATAAGTCATTTTTCAAACTATATCCTTTTTTATATTTGTCAGACATTTAAAAACTTAATTATTAATTTTTCATTTCATGTATTTGGTACTGTGTTTCACTACGCAGCTTGAACTCATTCCGATCCTCCTGTTTTCAGCCTCCTGAGCACTGGGATTATAGGCATGTGCCAGGACAACTGGACTCAGTTGCTGGCTCAGTGTGCCCTGGGGGCAGGGCCAGGGTGGCATGTAGCATTGGGGATCAAACCCTGGTCTCTGCACTTGCCAAGGCAGGCACTTAATCCTCTGAGCTATCTCATCGGCCCTTGTCAGACAAAATTTGTGAAGATCACTATAACAGTCTTCTACTGTTGTGGTCCTCAAAGAAGATGGAGGAACAGAAGTATAAAGTGATGAAATCAAAGGCGAAAGCAATTTCATTATTAAGGAGGTTACTAATGCTAAGAGTCATAGTAGCTTGGCTGAACCGCAGATAAAAACTCTTCTTTATCAAGTTGCATCCGTCTACCTACAGACACCTCAAGTTTATCTTTCCGGCACCATAATAACTCCACTGTGTATAAATGCCACATTTTCCTTAGTCATTCATCTATTGGTGGACATATATGTGGTTTTTAAGATCTAACTATTATAAATTGCGCTGCTATAAATGTGGCTAGGCACGTACCCCTTAAATACAGTGATTTAACTCTTTTGGGATGATACCTAGGAAGGGTATAGCTGGGTCAAATGGAATTTCTACTTTTAGCTTTTTGAGGAAACTCCACATTGATTTATATAGTGGTTGTACTAATTCACATACTTTATTTTTATTTATCTTTTTTTTTTTGTTTTGGTGGTACTGGGGATTGAATTCAGGACCCTGCGCTTGCCAGGCAAGTGCTTATTCTACTGAGCTATCTCCCTGGCCCTCGTTCACATACTTGAAAATATAATGTCAAATGAAATGAGTCAGACACACAAGCTGAGCCATCTCCCCAGCCCTACAAGCTGAAATATGGCATGTTTTCTTATATGAGAAACACTGTATAGGTAGGCTATAGTAAATTGGGAAGAATTTTTTCTTTTTATTTTATGAAAAAATATATACACAAATGAACAAAATATAAAAGAGATAAATAGGAAGTAGGGAGAAGTTCAATATTTTCCCAAAATATGTAGTCTGTTGTTTTAAAAAATATTTTAATATAAATGTTGATTTGTTATATGTATACTGAAAGTTTATCTTAGTTTGTTAAAAAGAAAGCCTATATTATTATCTGTTTGTTTATTCTTTGTAAATATTATTTTGGCTATGTTGTGTACTAACTACTTTGAAGGTATGGTATACAATGTAATAGATATTGTTATTCTATTATTTATTTATGAAATATTTTTTCAGAAAATAAGAAAAATTCCTCTTCCTGATTTATTATAGTCTACATTGTAGGACATAAAGTACCCTGAGCCTTCATTACATCCTGCTCCATTGTCAATCCAAAGTTTTAAATCTACCTTTAGATCCACAAGTGGAGAGACCACTAGTACCAGTACCAGAGTAAAAAACAAAAGCAGGGCCGGGGAGATGGCTCAGTGGAATAAGTGCTTCCCTGGCAAGCACAAGGGTCTGAGTTCAATCCCTGGTTCCACAAAAATAAATAAATAATTAAAAAAAAAAAACAAAAAACAAAAGCAACTTACTCCTTCCCAGAAGAAAATGCTTGCTTTCCATGAGATCCAAAAATAAAAATTCTATTCTACAATGTCTCTTAAATCTGACCTATGGAGAATCTGGGTGTCAGGAGATATTGTAAAAGAGAAATATATCATAAAATTATAAGTGCAAAGATGAATAAAATCTAATGTGGAACAGTTTATCTATAAGACTGAGAGACTTAGAACTCTTATAGATTTTCACGTAATTTTAAACAACAATGTGACACGATTTGAATATTGTCTGAGCCTGATTTCCAGTGTGTCAGTATTGAAATATCAGGGCCGCAGAGATGGCTCAGTAGAATAAGTGCTTCCCTGGCAAGCACAAGGGCCTGAGTTCAATCCCCGTTCCGCCAAAAAAAAAAAAAAAAAAAAAAAGAAATTGAAATATCATGGAATTTTAGGAGGTGAGGGCTTGTAGAAGATAATTAGGCTTTGGAAGGCAATGTCTTCAGAAGTGATCAATGCAGGTATTGTGAGTTTCATGTCATCTTTTTAAGATTCCTGCAGGTGAATGTCGGGACAACATGCAACACTTGTGTTTCTGAGATTGGCTTATATTGCTTAATATGATGATTTCTAATTCTACCCATTTTCCTGCAAATGACAAAATTTCATTCTTCCTAATGAATTGTGCATATCATGTTTTCTTTATCCACTCATCTGCTAAAAATAGGTTATTATAAGGGAGCCTGGTGTTTCCTTTGAATCTTCATTCTGCATTCACCACTGTCCACACTCAGGTGTGTTCTTACCACCTTGCCATTTGCCGCAGAGCAGAGCAGACATCTGGACATGCTCCTGAACCTTTAGAATCGTGAGCTAAATACAACTTTGTTTCTTTAGAAAGTATTCAACCTCAGGTTGTTTGTTATAGAAACAGAAACTGAGCTAATACCATGACTTGATTTCTTTGTTTTCATATTAATATTTATTTAAGTCTTGGATGCACTGAATTCTTGATAGCAGGAAGGGCCTGGGAGGAGCAGGGAAGAACTGGGGCCCAGTTTTCCATGTCTGAGCCTATAGCATCAGTGTCTTCTCAGGCCTGTTTAACAAGTTTCCACCTAAGTAGAGAAAAATCAGAGCTATGAGAATGTACAAACCATGCTGGGGATATGGTTTTTCATCCCTAGACTTCCCAAGGACACTGAGGTGTACTGCCATGGCATAGGGGCTGATGGCAGGGGATACCAGGCCAGCCAACCTGAGGCATCGAGGTCTCATAATCCCTTTCCTCATAACTTAACTGTGAAGTGGAAAATCCTTCTTCATTGAAAATTGTAATAACAAACAACCCTGTAATTTAACATCCCTGAAAGTAATTATAGTAAAAAATCAGAGGCCAGCAATATAGCTCAGCAGACTAAGTGCCTGCTTTGGCAAGTGCAGGGACCAGAGTTCGATCCCTGTCTCCACATGCTGTGAGAGCCCCACCCTCTGGGGCACGCTGAGCCAGTGACCGAGTCTGGGTGTGGCGGCGCACGTCTGTAATCCCAGCACTGGGGAGGCTGAAAACAGGAGGATCACTACAAGTCTGAGCTGCGTGGTGAGACCCTGTAGACCCTGTACTAAATACATAAATGAAAAAACAAAAAAATCAGTAATACGAGAAACAAAGAACGAATGTCCCTTTTATACAGAGGAAAAGCATGATATTCATTTCTTTAAGTTAATGGTGCTTTTTCTGAGGAAGATCACTTATTGGGTGTTCCTCCTCTCTGCCCAGAATCAAATCTCCGAACATACCTCAGTTTATTTATTTAAGTTTTAGATTTTATTTAAAATTAATGCCTATTAATTTAAAAATGTTGGGTTTTATTGTGTATATTTTGATCATACCCATTCTTTTTATTCTCTCCCTCCCTCTTTTTTTCCCCTCCCTCTTATGATCTTGTCTAATAACAATCTTCCTTCTACTTTCGTCATTTTTTTTTTAAGATTTCTACATAGGAATGTAAGAACAATATGCAAAACTTGTGCTTCTGAGTTTGGTTTATTTTGCTTAATATGGTGACTTCCTTTTTTTTTTTTTTTTTTTTAATATGGTGACTTCCAACGCTACCCGTTTTCCTGCAAATGTCAAAATTTCATTCTTGTAATGAATTGTGTATATCACGTTTTCTTTATCCTCTCATCTGCTGATTGGCAGCCAAACTGGTTTGATATCTTAGTTCTCGTGAACTGCGCTGCAATGAACAGGGACATGTGGGTATTGTTACAGTATGCTGACTAAATTCCTCTGGATATAAACCAAGGAGTGATAAATCTGGATTAAATGCTAGGTCTATTTTTATTTTTATTTTTGTTTTTCATTTTTTTTTTTCAAGAAAACTCCATACTGCTTTCTGTAGCAGCTATGCTAATTTACATTCCCACCAGTAGCTTTCCCCTATAGCCCACCAGCACTTATCATGTTTTTGTATTCTTGATGATAACCATTCTGTCTGAGGTGAGATGAAATCTCAATGTAGTTTATTTATTTTTAATGTATTTAGTACAGGGTACACGGGGTCTCACTACACAGATCGGACTCAGTGATCCTTCTGTTTTCAGCTTCCCAAGAGCTGGGATTATAGGCGCTCAACACCATGCCCAGTCTCATTCTCCAGTCTCAGTGTGCCCTGGGGGCAGGGCCAGCAGAGCACGCAGGGGATGGAACCACAGCTGCTGATGGATCCCCAGCTGTTGCGCTCTGCCTAAGCAGGCGCTTTAGTCTGCTGAGCTATCAGGCCCGCCCTCTCAACATGGTTTTGATTTGGATTTCCCTAGTGACTAAAATGTTGAACATTTTTTTTCTCTCTGTACTTATTGGCCATTTGTTCTTTTTTTTGAGAAATGTCTGTTCAGTTCACTCATGCATTTATTAAGAGGGCTATTTGATTTTTTTGATGTTAAATTTTTTTTTAGTTCTTTATATATCTTAGATATTAAAGAGGTGTAGCTAGCCAAGATTATCTTGGATTCTGTAGGTTCTTTACTCTTGGTTGTTTCTTTTGATGTGCAGATACTTTTAAATGTAATGTAATCACATTTGTTGATTTTTTCTATTTCATGTGTTGTAGGAGAGCTGTTCAGGGAGTCTTTGCTTGTATCTGTTATACCCTGTCAAAATTGACTCCATTTTGTTGCCCTTCTAACCTCGCCGAGTTTCTGTTCTGTATGCACCAACCCCTCCCAGTTCCTCACCCCTGTGACCCAAGTCTTATGACATCCGTACCCCAAACCTTATCTTGTCCTGAAGAACTCTGCGTGATTTCAGCACCCTGCCCAGTGGGCCCACTCGATGAACTCATGACTCACCAACTCAGCACCCCCACCCAACAGGACCACCCAATGAACTAATGACCCTGCCACTTCTTCCTCTCCACCCCTTCCCTGTTTTTGTGGTTTTCAAGCTTAAAAACTGCACCTTGTTAATGCTCGGCGCGCCTCTTTGCAACTTGCATAGAGACCGCTGCTGGGTACCAGCTAAAATAAAGCACTTCTTTTAACTTTTGGACTTGCCTCGTTGTCATCCGATTTTTGAGCTACAACATACCTATATCACTTCAAATTATTTATTTATTGTAACAATTTGCTTCATTTCTTTTAAAATGTATTTAGCACAGGGTCTACAGGATCTACAAGGACTCACTACACAGATTAGACTCAAAGTGATTCTCCTGTTTTCAGCCTCCCCAGCGCTGGGATTACAGGCATGTGCCATCATGCCTGGTCTCTGTCAGCTCAGTGCACCAGGGGTGGGGCTGGTGTGGCATGTGGTGCCGGGGATCAAACCCTATTCCCTGTGCTTGGTCCCTGCGCTTGCCTAAGCAGGCACTTAGTCTGCTGAGCTATCTTGCTGGCCCACTCTTATTTTATTTCTTGTGCTTTTCCTGTCAGCCTTTCCCAGTGATGGGATTACAGATATGCACCACCACGCCTAGCACAAAGTTTCATATTTTATACTTAAGTCTTTGGTTTATTTTGAATTGGTTTCTGTGCAGGGTAAGCAACACAGATCTAGTTTTAATCTACAAGGGAATATCAGGTTTTCCTCGGAGCATTTGTTAAAGGGGCTGTCTTTTCTTCAGTTGTATATTTTGGGGGTCCTTTTTCAAGAATCAGACGTAGTTGGGTGGGTTTGTCTGTGTCCTTTGTTTTGTTCCAGTAGTCTGTAGTCTTGTGTTAGTACCATGCTGTTCTTGTTACTCTGGCTTTATAGTATAATTTGATGTCTGGTATTGTGGTGATCTTACCCTTTTTTTTTTGTAAGGATCTACAGGGTCTTGTTACATAGATCGACTCGTAGTGATCCGCTTGTGTTCAGCCTCCCAAAGCACTGGGATTATAGGGGCGCACCACCATGCCCAGTCTCAATCGCCATCTCAGTGTGCTCCAGGGGCGGGGCCAGCGCAGCATGCTGAATCCTTGCTTTTTTTTGTTTAGGATTGCTTTGACTATTTCGTGTCTTTATATTTCTATGTGAACGTTAGGATTTTCATTTTCTTTTCTAGTTCTTTGAAGAATGCCGTTGGGCTTGTGAAGGGGAGTGCGTTGAATCTGTAGATTGCTTTATTTATTTATTTATTTTTGGTGTAGATTGCTTTTGAGAAGATGGCCATTTTAACAATATTAACTCAGCCAATCCAGGCACAAGGGAAGGTGAAACTATTTATCTTTTAGTGTCTTAAATTTCTTTCTTTAGTGTTCTGTAATTTTACTGTTGAGGTTTTTCGCCTCTTTGGTCAAGGTGATCTCTAGGGTTTTTGTTTGTTTTGCTTTAAGTTACTGTGAATGGAATTCTGTTTCTGATGTCTTTCTCAGCTAATTCATTACTAAGGTATAGAGAAGCTATTGATTTTTAAATATTGACTGAAAGCTCTACCTTGGTGACTTCTAGAGACACAGACACTTCGCCTCTTCCTCTACGACCAATGGCTTGCGGGGAAAGTTCCTGGTAGTGGAGAAAAGCGGATCTGGGGGCCATTCACCTCAATCCACAGTCATCGACGGATCCATGCACTGATGTCGGCAGTTGTAGTAGCAACATTTCTTGGTCCCCTTGCAGCTTCGGTCACTCAGGCACCCAGGCAATCCACTGAACATACACTCGAGATAAAACTCCGGGCAATGTCCAGGTTTCCATTTGGCTGAAAGAAAAGGGGGGAAAAAAGAAGAAGAAGAAGAAGAAGAAGAAGAAGAAGAAGAAGAAGAAGAAGAAGAAGAAGAAGAAGAAGAAGAAGAAGAAGA